ACAACGGGAGCTGTTCAACAAAAGTCACAGTGTGTTTGTGTTTTTGCAAGTTTGTGGGTGTGAGAGAGAGAGCCTGAGAGAGGAGATGCCGCCTGTGTATCCTGTGCACATACCCGTCTGCACTGGTATTGCCGAGCACTGTGCTTTTATCCCCCTGGCATCGATGATGATGACGAAAGTTGCTGGCAAAATGATGTCCAGTCCTCATTTGATCCCTCATTGTCAACTCGCATTGCAGAGCAGACTTTAGACCAAAAGAAGTGCAATAAGTTAATGACTGTTGCATCACAGGCTATAAATTGATAAGCTTCCATGACAGTATTATCAGTGATGATTAATGGTGTGTGTATATGAGCAGCAGTTTAATTTGGCCGTCATTAGTCTTTGAAGAGTGAGAGGATGCAAGATGAGAGAGGATGAAAGAGGAGAGGAGCTAAATGCTGCTGCCAACCTATCTGTCTTGAAGGGCACTCTGCCAGTACTAAATATAGCTGCAAGATAAGGGAAAAAGAGAAAAGGACAGAGTGAGTCATGCATCTCAATACAAAAAAGATGCCTTTGCTGCTTTGGGCTCATCAGAAACTCCCAAAAATGCGTCATCATACTGCTGAATAATTATACTAATAATGCTCACACTTTCATGTGGCTCTTTGGCTATTTCTCTGTATACATTTCATGCATTAATTTGACTCTATGTGTATTTTCAACTAGTAGCTCACATGTCGGCCTCCCTCCATCCCTCTCCAGCCCTCACTTCATCCATTTCCTCTGTCTCTCTCAGTCTTTGCACTTGTATCAGAACTTCCTGTATTTTTCCACCTTGCTTTTTCTGCATTCAGAGTTGTGTTTTTCTAATAACTGCAGCCATCGTTTCCTCCCTGCTTTTGTAGCAGCAGCTGTGTTGAAGCAGGTACTGGACGCTATCTGGCCTGCAAGTGTGTTTTGTTAGATGGTATCAGCACTTCTGTGTGTGTGTGTGTGTGTGTGTGTGTGTGTGTGTGTGTGAGGGAGAGTGAGCGAGAATGAGAACGAGAAAAATAAAAAACAGAGAGAAGAGTGATATTGAGTTCAATATGAAAGTGTAAAGAAGAGTTGTGTGTTTGCTGGTTTCTGTTAAACTGACAGGAAAGTGAGTGTTTTTTTAACATCTCTTGTGAATACAAAGAACTTTTTATTTTATTTTACAGAACAAACAAACAGCGTTATCTCCAACAGAAACATGGATCCACAGGCCTCGTCTGTCTCAGTCCACTGAAGGACATCAACCTTGATAAAAGATTTACAGTTCTTGTTACAACATGGGAAACAGGTTGCACAGGGTTGAGAATTTAGTGTGGACATGACAGCCCTTATAAGGAGGTTTAATTCCCTTCATTTATAAAAAGGTTTAGCTCTATTGGCAAGACCATAATTAAGTCCAGTTTTTGGTTGTACAATGTTTACAATATTCAGAATGTCAAAAACAATAACATACACCATACTACATGATTTAAAGCAAATCATTAACAAGACTAAGAGTCTACAGCAATTCTAGCGGCTCTGTGAGGCTGTACTAATGTACAGAGTAACTTTGAGCTAAATGCTAATGTCAGCATGCTAACATTCTCACAAAGACAAAGCTAACATGCTAATGTTTAGCAGGTATAATGTTTACCATGTTCACAGTCATATTTTAGTGTGTTAGCAAGATTTGCTAATTAGCACTAAACACAAAGTATCCATCCAAAATGTTTCAACATCAGGGTGGCGCTAAAGGAAAAGTGGATCACCAAAGGCATTAGGATTCATCCTCTGGGCACCATCATTGTCTAGGCAAAATTTCATGGCAATCCATTCAGTATTTGTTGGGATATTTAGTCTGGACCAAAGTGGTGGACCTACCACTGCCATCCATACAGCCACGATGCTAGTATGGCTAAAAATATAAACAATATCAGAATATATATGATGAAATTAGATATAGTTTAACAATTTAATGTAATGAAAGAGATAAAATCAAAAAGAAAAGGGAGATGTTGGAGGAGAAACTATTCTCTTGTCTCCTGATGTGGGCAATTTTGTTCAGCAAAACAGATTAAAACATCAAATGACGTGTGAAAGCATAAAGGGGAGTGTTTCAGAGAGAAGAGATAAGTTTGGTGGATTAAAGTGAGTTATAAAAGGTGAAGGGTAGCGTAGATGAGGCAGATGAGATGTGAGGGGTGATTCGGGGCATAGGGAGAGGGCTGGGGGGTTTGTGGTTGGGGTCTAGCAGGTAAAGAGGTGAGGGCATAGTTGTGGTCTGGGCATGCACGATCCTGTCAGGTGGAGTATGCGGGTACCAGTAGGAGTTGGAGGAGATCAGAGAGCCGGCTGGATGTTATCTCTCTGTCCATACCATACCTGCAGGTCGACTCACCTGAGGCAGCAGCCAATCGTGTTCTCCGTCTGTCTGTCTGCTCATTCCTCCTCTGTTCCCTCTAACTTAAAGGTTTGTTTCTCCTACAGGCATAGCATCACTAATGACACATCACGTTTTGCTTGCAGCAAGCATCAGTCTGGAGTGACCAAGTGATCTTTTTCAACATGTTTATTTTGTGATGTCTGTAGGTGTACGATATTCCTCTATATTTAGGCATAATAGCATACGTAAAAGCCTGAAATAGTTAAGGCCATCAGTAAAATGATCAATACTATTGGACTGTAAAGCATATTTGTATTTTAGTAAGTAATACAATCTTTTAACTTGACAACATTAGGATCATATTACATACTATACAACATAACTTTAATATATCCTAATAAACTACTATACATCAGTAGTGATGTTGTCATTTTTTGGCAAAGTTGATCCTGATTCTACATCCAGTGGAAGATGTTTTACCTCCCATTTCACTCTAGAGATGACAGCAGATGTTACAGATGTATTTAGAGACGAGTGTTTGAAGGTGAGGAATGAAGCTGTAGGATGTACCTATAGAAACAATGGACACCTGTGTTACAGACTTGTGTTTGTCTGGGTCTAAACCAACATGGTGATGGTGGTGTTCTTTTAGATTTTGTGGTACTTGCCAGGCTGGATCACTGACCAGGCAAATCAGGAAACTGCTCCACAGCCCCAGGGCCCCAACCAAAGCTCCTGATTGCAGTTTGGTGTTTGGTAAGATTTGGTTAGGAATACAGCAATATGTACTTTTAAAGCACACTAAAGACATAACAATACGTAACAACACACCGAGGCAGCCACCCGCAGCGCCATCATGAATGATTTCCTTGTGTTTAATCAATAACAATACCACACACTTGAGGTTACATAATTTCCAAGCATAGAAAGACTGTACATAGTGCACAGAAAGGGAAGGAATGAGGGTTACTAGCAGCCTAGCTGCTCATTTCTGCCCCTGGGGACCCCTTGTAGTTTAATCTGGCCATGGATTCTGGGATTTCATCATCAAAACTTTAAAAATGCCAAATTGTCATTTATGGGAATAGTTTTTGCCATTAAACTTGGGGTGATGTTATTGTTGATAATTTGTGTATTTAATTAATTAGTTTGTTGGTAAGAGGATAACACCTAGTCACTTGGACTCCTGCATCTTTGCTTTCTTTACACGAAGACCCACACTAGAAAGAAGTTTTAGACTGTATTGTGTCATCCCTGACCAGCTGATTACTCCTAAATCAATATTGAAGGGCTCTGTAGTCACATTTGGTCCCCCTCAGCCTCATCTGTCAAATATATCTTTGCATCTCTACTCGCTACTTTTGACCTCCCCTGGCAGAATGTAGTCCAGCCAAGTAAGCCAGTGACTTTGCAGTTATGGCCAAGTAAGTTCTTGGTTCCTCTTTCTTATGTGCTCATCAATATTTGCCAAATGTACTTCTTTTATGTTGATTTTGGGTGTTGCATTATCTGTATTCACACATTATTAACCTCCTCATTATTGCAAGTGAAATTGCACTTGTGTAGCATACTTCTATATTAAATGTATTTTTCGTTTGATATCTAACCTTATGTTAAATTATTAGACTGTTTTTTTTAGCAAAAAGATGGTCCAGGGTATGTTTGGCCTAGCATACCACAAAGATTGTAAGCAGGGAGACACAGAGCAACAGAGATCCAGTTAATATAAATAATAATAATATTATCTCTTTCTGAGAACACATCCTCTTATAACACCTCTAACCCCTAACCTCTAACATCCACTTCCTGTGGTCTTGTTCTTCTGTCTCCTTACAATTATCTTTTATTGATTGCAGTATTTCGTTAACTCTTACTTCTTTCCCGGGGTATTTACCCCATTGATGCCATACCTGCAAATAGCTCCTACTAGTATTTATTGCTGCTCTTACTAGTATCTATTGTCACTTGTAGATCTCTTACTGTATTGATGCTTTATTGATGCTTGCATGTTGTTCCTCAAATGTAAGTCGCTTTGGATAAAAGCGTCTGCCAAATGAGTAAATGTAAATGTAAATATAAATATAATCTTACTCCCAGTAAAAGTGCAAACAAACCTATTTCACAGAATGCGTGTGTACTCATTTAGTATGCACGTGACAAAGAAAGCAACATTTTGTTTGTTTGTTTCCTAGTTGAATTGGAAAAGCTCACAATTTGTTGGTAAGAGGATGACAACTAGTCACTTGAACTCCTGCATCTTTACTTTCTTTATATGAAGAACCACAGTAGAAATATGTTTTAGACTGTATTGTGTCATCCTTTATATTTTGTAGTTGTTTATGACTTACTGTCCTTCTTGTCATTATGTAAAATAAAATGAAATAAATAATATATTTATCATTATCATGCGCCCTGCACTATAAACAGGAGATGTGGCGACCCTTGGCGGTGCTGTGTTGTGCCTGCAGGGATTTTCCGCCACGGTAAAGTAGACGTGGCAGTGACGTCAGTGCCGGAAATGACCCGGATCAGAACTTTAAACTCCTGGGTTGATTAGTTTTCACCAGAAACATCGAGGGCTCTCGAAATATGATGTAATATCGATTCAAGTAAGTTGGAACGGATCGATTTTTGTCTTTTAAATAAGATTAAACCTCCCGTGGCTAGTTTAGGTCGAATTGTACCGAGGTAACGCAGGAGAGACCGTTTGGAAAGCCCGGTTAGCTTTCTGTAGCTAACGTTAGCCTGTGGTTAGCCGGTCAGGCCGTGATCAGCTGTGCGTCGTGATGTGCGGCCTTTACACATTGTTACCTAATGGTATGTATATTTAGCTCGCCTGTGGCTTTATCTGTGAGTTGTGGCAGTTATTTGCTGTTTGTTACCTGGTTGTTTATGTACAGTCGGTCGTCTTGTTGGTGTCAACGTACCTTGCTGTTAGCTAACGGCACCGGTTGTATTTTTACTAACCTACTAGAGTGTTTAATCGTTTACATTTCAAGTTGTCAGCCTGTGAGACTAAGCTTTGTTTTGACGTCTTTTTCCCGTCGCCGCAGACATGTTTGTAAGTCCATGAACGATACCCCACCTTGGATGTGAGTTTGTCTACACACCAGGAGGTCTTCCTATTTATCCACCACACAGAGCTGAGGACTTGGACCTGACAGTACCAGGTGGTTTCTGATCTACAGCGGGCTGGTGACCCTTTTACCGGCGGCAGGATGACATGCCGTGACCGGACCCTCGAGTTCCAATCAGCCTGTAAATCTCTCCAGGGCAGACCGGTATGTTGGCACAGGCACCTGTCATCACAGCACAATAATAACGGGATCTCTTCATGTAAAATGAGGCATTTGCCCCAAATTTATAGCAAGAACTTTACAAGTACACTGATGTGTTTTCACTTTGTTTTGTAGCACTGATGGATTTTACTTTTGGTTCCTTGTTCATTTCCATCTCTGCATCTAGTTTCAGTTCTACATAGGCTTCAACAGTCTGGTCAGCTTTCTTAAGTTAATGTCAAGGCCTACTCTTATCTGGATATTTTGGGTGAAGTTAAGCACAAATTGATCTTTTTGTTTTCCTTCAGCTGTGTTGAGGCACCTCTTTTACTGTAAACACCCAACTGGCAAAAAAATGTGATGTCCAATCTTAAAAATAATGGTAAACCTCAATTAGCTAAGCCTATATATATCGAAACACTATTTTAGTTAGTTACTTAACTTACCTTTTTTTTCATCTGTAAAATGTCCCGCCTGGTACAGATATTGTGTTTCAATACAGTTATTTATAAGACAAACTTAAGGGACCCACATCTTTTGTTAATGTTATATGTTAAGATGGCAATATTGATCAATATATTGTTATCAGATTATTTTTAAACCCTCAAATATCAATATAGATATTGGCCTCAATAATCCAGTATCGGGTGGAGTATAATAAAGTTGTCAGTGCTCAATGTGACACCATAAAAATGTTTATGTAGTTTGTAGTTAACAGCTCAAAAGCCCATAGTATTCATTTTGAACTGATAATAAAGGACTGTTATGTAATGTAACGATGCACTATTTGTAATTTTGATTGACTACAATATTAAGTAGGTCAACAAAAATGGATTCAGTGAGTTCCCTGTTACTTTACCAACTGATTACTCCAAAGGGTTTTGTAGTCACATTTGTTCCCCCTCAGCCTAGTCTAGCAAATATATCTTTGCATCTCATACTCTCTACTTTTGACCTCCTCTAGCAGAATGGAGTCCAGCCCAGTAAGCCAGCTCTCAGTGCCCTCAGGCAGCGCAGTGACTTTACAGTTATGGCCAAGTAAGTTCCCTCTTTCCTCTTTCTTTTGTGCTCATCAATATTTGCCAAATGCACTTGTTCTTTTATGTTGATTTTGGGCGTTGCATTTGTATTCACACATTATTGCATGTGAAATTCATCTTTATTGCACTTGTGCAGCATACTTAAATATGAAATGTATTTTTAGTGTCTAACCTTAATATTAAATTATTAGACATATACATTTTTAGCGGAGAGATTGGTCCAGGATATGTTTGGTCTAGCATAACACAAAGACTGTAAGCAGGGAGACACAGAGCTAAAGTTTTGTTTGTTTGTTTTTACCTGTAGGAGAATTGGAAAAGACTTGAGCAATACATTTGCCAAACTGGAAAAGCTTACAATTTGTAAGTGTGTTTTTTTAAATGTTATTTTACCACCATTTTCACTGTTCTAAAAATCTTGTTTGTCTCTCATATCATCCAAAGTGCTGGTTTTATATCTGTTTTGATGTTTTAGTGGCAAAAAGAAAATCTCTATTTGATGACAAGGCAGTGGAGATCGAGGAGCTAACGTACATCATTAAACAAGTGAGTTGAATTGTTAACGTCTCGTGAAATGTGGTTTAACAAACAAACTGTGCATTACTTGTGAATAGTACCACATTCTATAATCCCGTAAATATCTATTTTGTAAAAATATATTTACTCTGTTTTCTACCTCTCCTTTGTTTTATGTTTGTAGGACATCAACAGTCTAAACAAACAGATAGCACAGCTGCAGGACTTGGTCAGGTCTCGCGGAGCTCCGGGTGGCCGACATATCCAAACCCACTCTAACACTATAGTGGTGTCATTACAGGTATATTCAAAAAGGTCTAATTCATACTGTATATATGCGAGTCCACGGGCATGGAACTGTTTAAATCCTGGTAAACGTTTCTTTTGTGGTTAGTGTTTTTTGACAGTTAAGTTGGAAATTTTGAAATTAATGTGAAAAGAAACAAGGTTAAAGACTTTAAATTAAATGTATTCTTTATTATCAACCTTTTAAATTTTTCTTAAAACCTTTTGATTGACAAGCTTTCATTCCCGTACAATAATATAGAGAAAAGCTTTTAAAAGAAAGAATACTGTTAAAGAATACTGGAAGTAGTTGTGTTTGTATTCTCATTCACTGATTGGCGCTCTGTAACAAATGTGCACAGCTGAATTAAGCTCTACTTTTTTTAACTTTGCTGTATCTTCCGTTGTCCACAGTCCAAACTGGCTTCGATGTCCAATGACTTCAAATCAGTCCTAGAAGTCAGAACAGAGGTGAGTTAGTGTGTGGGATACTTTAAGCGTTAAAAGGCAGAAAATACTAAAGATTAAAAAAGTTTTGAAATGACTGAGAAGAAACCTGTCCCCCATTATTACCCTCTCCCATGATCTTTTCCTGCAGAACCTGAAGCAGCAGCGCAGCAGGAGAGAGCAGTTCTCCCAGCCTCCTGTCTCGTCATCTCCTCTGATGGCCAACAACTTCAGTAAGTCGATCCACATCTTGGCTTCACGCCACTCAGTATGATTTTCTTTTCTTTTTTTTTTAACAAGGGTCTCGCGTTAAAGTAGTGGCACCAACAGGTAAACACAGCATGTTGTTGTAGCTTCATAAGGGCATGTTCACTCTATACTGATACTGTTTGCGGGAAATGTTTTGCCTCAGTCACATTTTGTTCTGATTAAATGCTTCACGTCGTTAGAGCTTAAAAAAACCTTACCACACAGCCAAATTAAATCCTGATTATGTGCAAATTTGAACATTTCTCAACTTAAATAATCAATTGTTACCTAAAACACTGTCTGCCGTTCATCTAACATGAAGAATGTGCTGGCAGATTCAAAAAGTGTAATAGAGTGAACACACCTTTTTATTGTTTCTTTGTTTTGGCTTTGAGGCAGTATTCAACATGTCTGACTCCGGATCAGTTTACCAGTGCTAAACATTTTGCTAAACAGGCTTCTTACCAGAGACTCTCTAATTAGCACAGGGAGTTCAGATGCTTCCTGTGCAGGCATTTACATTGCCGGTAAAATGTTTATGAACAGCCGATAATTCAGCCGTTTTGTTAAATCTCAAACATTCTGCTCACTGTTGATATCTTACAAATAACATATAGGTAACAAACTGATATGTGAATAAAAATGTTATATAATGAAATAACGTTATTGCTGTAATTAGGCACGTAGAGTAACTATCTCGGCTTAACTTGTTGACCTGTCCGGTGCGTCTGCCTTTAAAAATATATAAATCATGCTATTACGATCAAAGTGCTTGCCAGAAACGAGAACTTAAATATAAAGGTTTACATCTTCGGAACACTAGAGTAGGCAAAGGTTGGCTCATCAGTTTACAATTTCTAATTTCAGGTAATTTACGGTGAGCAAACTGTTTGAAATTTAGTCACAAATGGCATAGACGTACAGAAACATTTTGACTGGCGGTGTACTGTTGAACAGCTGTTGTTATAGGGAACTGCTCAGAATCCTTGTGAATGATTATTACTGTATTTGGTCATCTATAATGCAAAAATGAAAAAATATTTTAGGGAGCCGAAAAAAAGGGGCCCAGGAGCCGCATGCAGCTCGCGAGCCGCGCAATGGTTACCAGGGCAATACAACCTCAAATTTAAAAGGTATTTCCCTGGAACGTTTGACTCTCCCAGCGGGTATAACTAGCTACTGTATGTGCCCGCTGTTCTTTCTGCTTTTCCCCTCTACCATCTCTCTGATCCCGTTGAACGTGTGTGTTTTTCTTGTTGTCTCTCTTCAGAGAGCTCGGTCCTGATGCAGGATGAGTCCAGGAGTATGGGGGATGTAGCCATCGATATGGATTCTCAGAACAATCCCATGCAACTCCAGCTTATTGATGAGCAGGTAGCCTGCTGGTGTATATTTGTCAAAGTCAGGCAGATGGAGAAGAATATTTTCGTCTCATTTGCTGGCACAAAAAATATCAGCTACTGTTTATTTTTAAAGTCAGTTGATGCGCATTATTATTCTTTTGTCACAATAAGTAGGAAATGTATCCACTGTTAACATGGCCCTTTCTGAAATCTTGCTGGCTGTGCGATTACAGGACTCTTATATCCAGAGCCGAGCAGACACCATGCAGAATATTGAGAGCACCATTGTGGAACTGGGCTCTATATTCCAGCAGCTGGCACACATGGTCAAGGAGCAAGAAGAGACCATCCAGAGGTAAGATGGAGATAGAACTGGAGTCTCACAGGCTAGAACTTGAGCCTAGTTAGCTTAGATTAAGACAAGAAACAGCTTACCTGGCTTTGTCCAAGACTAAAAAAAAACCACATACCAGGACTTCTAATGCTCACTAATGAACGTGTTTTAAATTGTTTAATATGTACAAAAACTAAAAAAGTTACACTCAGCAAGCAAACCAGCCGGCATATTTCCCTTGATGTTGTTGAGTTTTTACCTTTTATTTAAAGAAAGAAAACTCATTGAGATTAAAAATCTCTTTTCCAAGAGCGTCCTGGCCAAGACGAGCAGCAGCACAAATGTCAGACTTTTCTTTTAATAAAAAAGCAATAGGAATGAGGAAACTGGAAGTAAAGAAGGTAAATGGAGCGTGAACAAGTACTACTAGAATTTGAGTGGTGGTGACTATCTTACATTTCATGCAGAATTCAGGTGCTTGTAATGAATTTACAAGTGTATCTTTTACTTTATGGACTAACATTATTTGCATCTGTTGTAAAAGTCCTATCTCACTGAACTGCCTGTGCCTCTCTCGCAGGATTGACGCTAACGTGGAGGACACCCAGCTGAACGTGGAGGCAGCCCACACAGAGATACTCAAATACTTCCAGTCAGTCTCCTCCAATCGCTGGCTCATGATCAAGATATTTCTCGTACTTATCATCTTCTTCATCATCTTTGTCGTCTTCTTCGCTTAAAGACTAGAGGAGCGGCTGAGTGGAGCGGGAAAGCACATGGTATAAGGGGAAGTTAAGCTAAAGCTGAACTCAGACTACATGTCCAGACGACATATTTGAAGGACAGACTTCTCTATGAAAGCGACCGCTTGATGGAGGCTTGGGAGACCTTTCGATTAACACAAACTTTTCTGTTATTTCCAAGCCACAGACATTTGATCTTAATTCGACAATTCAGTGAAGAATGAGGATGTCGAACTCTGTCCAAATGAAAGAATAAATTATCTTAAATCCCCACTTTGTATAGAGAGCAAAGAACTGCTCTGTATTGTACTTTGACCAATTATTCCTAAACATGTAATCAAAATGACTATAATTTAATGGTTTGATTCTGCAAACTGTCTTTTGATTTGATTTTTGATTTTTTACCCCCTTACAATATGTCGTTATTATTATTATTATTATTATTATTTCAAAGCCAAACAACTGAACTGGAGTTTATCCTCAGATAATTTTGCTTCTTAGTTTTCTAACTTTTTGTTGAAGAGAATGACTGTGACACTTGTTTCTCAAAAATTTTCCACTTACCACCATTTGGTAATGATGTGAAATATTTTGTTATTCACTTTATTCTGTTTATTTGCCAAATGGATACTCTTATAGAACTGTGACACAATATAAGAAGCTGGACTACAGCGACTCCAGCATTTTGTGTCCTGGCATGAGAAAGCAGTTACAGAGAGCCAAAAGGAACTTTGCTGATATAATTCAGGCCCGAGCTGTACGAAATGTGGATGATAAGTTATGTAACAACATTTTTTAAATATGAAACTGTGTAGTTGCTGCACATAAGGCAGGTTGAATGGTTGGAAAAAGTACACCTGGCACATTTGTTGCTGCAGAGAGTCTTCAGCATATGAGTCTTGATCTGAGCGGGATCCAGCTTTGACATCAGTGCTTATGAAGGGGTTGGTCTGGTTGTGAAAGGCCCACTAATGAAGTGACTCAATCAACCTGGTTCCCTGGAAGTAGACTGTTGTAGTTGCTTTCTCTCTTTCTTTCTAATGGACTGGATCTTCTTTCAAGTGACCACAGCTTTTTCAGAAGAATGAAAATGTTCTTCTTATACTTTGTCTCTTTTTTTTAGCCCAATGCCTTGACTTAAATGTATAAAGTGAAAATAGTGAAAATGATGTATTGATAAGAAAGTGCATATTAATAAAATAATACTGGGTTGCTGGTGTTCATGGCTGAGACTTTCTTAAGATAAGAGGATTAGTCAGCAGTGATATAATTAGCCATACTGGGCTAGAAGGCTAAAGCGAGTCAGAGATATATTCAACCCATGTAAACCACAAAGACATTTATTTCTTGCCATATAGGCCCCAGACAAAATTACATTTTGCCTTTAAAACCACAACAAAGTGATAAAGGTCCATCCATCTTTGACTTCTTTTGTCAAAAGCCTTCAAGATTACTAGATTTGAAAAATGTACACTTAATAGGTATCAATGGGCCAAAATCAAAGAGTCACATTAAGTCTCAAATGTCAGACAACTGTTCTTTACATTTTATATTTATTTCCCCCAATACATATATTTACAATAAAAAAAATTACAGATGATGATCTAATTATTCTCAGCTGGAAATGATTTGCTTAATGGATGTACTATGAGAGCACCCACTAGCTGAGCAGGAGATCTGGAGCCAAACTGTGACTGCTGAATACCCCCCACCCCCCACCCACTACTGCACACAAGACAGCTGTCCTGTCTGTTGCATAACATTTTTATGAAGGGACAGTTCATGACACACATGATTCATCAAGAGCAATTGTTCCCGATATAAGCTGTTTATATGTAAGGATACATGAAGCATGTAGCAGAATGGCTAAAAACGGTCCACCACTGCCAGACTGAAATATCTCAACGGCTATTGGATGGATTGCCATGAAATTTTATACAAACATTCATGGTCCACAGACTATGTATCTTAAGGTTTCATGTAGCGCCACCAGTAGGTTGACTTTTGTAGTTTTGAGTGAGATTTCTCTATAAATATTGGTCTTTCATGAAATTTGGTACACACATTCCTTTCCCCCTGAGGATTGATCCTAAGAATTTTCATCTTGCACCATTATGAGGTAAATTAGTTTAAATTTGTATTATGTTAATTATGACCAAATATCTGCTAATCTAATGACCACTTCCATCAGCCACAGCTGTACTTTGTGTTAAGTGCTAATTACCAAATGTTACCATGCTAACACACTAAGATGGTGAACATGGTAAACATTATGCCTGCTAAACATGTTAGCAGTGACGTTGTGACGTTACCATTTAGCTCAAAGCACAGCCCACAGAGCTGCTAGCGTGACAGTAGACTAGGTCTTGTTTTAACATGCTTGTACCTGTCAGCACATCCATATGCTAACCACATGTTTCAGGATCTTGAAACCAATATAATTTTGGAATGGACGAAAGTTTTCGAGTTCATTAGCAGTTAGAAGGGTTCCCTTAAAGTCAAGAAATCACATCAAGACCACTTTCTAGACTTTTCTCCTCGTTTTAAGAGGCAAAATAATTAGAAATGAGAAAACTTTTTATTTACATTACATTTACATTTATTCTGTCCCCTTTTTGAATGCTACCTTCCCTCCTCCCTCCACATTCTCTGTTTTTCTCTCCTTCCCATATTTGCAGTATGCTGACCCACCTGTATTTTGTGCTCACTTTTGCCTCCTTCTCATTTTCTCCTCCCCAACAGAACTCCTCTACAGGTGCTCTTCCTCTCCCTCCCACCATCCTCTCCACATGGTCTCTCCCCTGACTCTCTTCCTCCCTTCTCTCACCCATGGGCACTCTGCTCCATTGGGCTGATCTCTGGCATGCTCCTGCTCCTTCCCTTCCTCGCCCTGGCCTTGATGGCCTCCTCCTCCCCTTCTCCATCCTCCTCGTCGGACCAATCTATCTGCTGCAGGTTCCCCCTGGAGCCTGTCATGCCGCTGCCTTTGAAAAACTGACCCGTGCGAAATTTGGTGCGGAAAGTAACAAAAGAGAGGCTCTTGCTGCGCTGCTGCTTCTCATAGGGGGTGTCCTGCATGTCTTCATTTCCATTTGTTTCGTCAACACAGTCACGTAGCACTGTGCGAAACAGCCGGGGAACCTCGTGAACCTCAGGCTCCATCTGCGACACCAGCCTCCTGAACCTGCAATGGGAGGAATAATTGTTGAGTTTTACAAAAAGGCCTGATCTAAAACAACACAAACATTTACAAAGTACTTAACAGTCAAGAAAAAAACAAAACAGAAACAAGGTCAAGCAAAAAAGAAGGCAGAGGCACTGCCACTGCCACAGAGTGGGTAGTCTTTTTAAAGGGGTCCAGAATCCCTAGCTGCTGGTAGGATATGAAACCTGATTACTAGAATAGAGGGGAGGTGCCCGTACTTCTAATATGTCTGTATGTATGCATGTAGTCTCTTAGCGAAAGAACAGGGATCTGAGAGTATCAGCTTACCTTCCAGGTTATAGTTAAGGGTGTTAAAGGGATTAGATTGAAACCCTGCAGCTCTCTTCTTTTGTTCCTTCCCTGTATTTCATACTCTTTGTCCCTTACTGTCTTTGTCTGTTACAGTCTTTCTGGCTCTATATTTCATCCTATGTCTCAATTTCAGTGTCAATAAGCGTAATATCTCTTTCTGACAGTTTGTTTCTACAGTAATGGTCTCTCTATGTCCCCCAGTCTTTCTTGTGGTATTTCTCACCTGACGATCACAGGGCCACACTGTGCTGGAGGGATCTTGGCACAGAGTTCCTGCAGTTCCAGCAGGTCATTGGGTGTCAGCTCGTAGGGTTGTGGGGTTGGGGCGGTCGCCAGCCAGCTGTAGTCAGCTGTGGAGGAGGAGCTGCGACGGCGGCGCCGACCCTCTGTCGCCCGCTCCAAACGGATGCGTTCAGTGCGCTTCACCATGGCTCCCAACTCCAGCATCAGAGTATTGGTAACCAGTTCCTCGCTGCTGCGCTGGCCGGGCACTTTGGGCTCAAGGGAGAAAACAGCGGACCAAGGAAACATCTGGGAAAGAAGGGCAGAATTGTCAGACAGTTATGTTATAGTTTAAGGAAGAAAAAGAAAAACAATATCCTTTATAACTGATTGTGCCTTTCACCATACCTAACTTTAAGCAAGTTCATATTTGGGGTTATAGTATTTTAGAATTATATTGGAGAATAACAACAAAGCAAAAGTTCATAGACACATTTGAAGACCTTTAAATCCACCAATAGTCAGTAGGAAGTCCAGTAAAACATGGCTCATTATAGGTATGACGGTTCACATGTAAAAGGAAAACAGCGCATATGACTCATCAATACAAACCATTCACCTTTTCTTAAGACTGTTACTCTCTTGCACTAAATGCTATTGTATCACTATAAATTTTTTCTTACCTTCATGAACTGGGTTCACAATGCTGCAGTGTATTCTTGTATGGCAGAAATCTACCTGTTGTCTGGTGAAGTGTCTGTTAGCAGCCGGGTGAACAGCAGGCCTCCATGGGCTTGTGACATTCAAGTATAAAACTCCTCAGACTCCAGCTGGTGGCACACAGCTACCTGAGTACCAGTACTTTTGTGAGGAGCCTGTGGAGTGTGTGTGTGAGTTTGGGATTGAGAATAAATGTAATCCTGTATTAATAAAGAGTGAGTGACGAGATGAGCTTACCTGACATGAGCGTGCACCTACCCAGAGCAGTAGGTGTTTGTGAGTTTGCCTGATAGAATCCAGGTGGGGTGTTTACATAACGGCATGGGATTGTTGGATAATAAGGATATTTTATTTCATTTAATTTTAACGATTTTCTTTTGAAAGTGTTTCCCAATTTTACTTCCTTTTTATGCAGCAGTTAAAGCTGTAAAGAAGGTTTCAGCTCAAACACACAAGCAGGCTAAACAATGTCTTGCTGAAAAATATTTTAAACCACTTCTACAGTGTCTGACAGAAATGTTTCTGGGCAGTCACAACATTTTAAATAGTATACTATTTGGTTACAAACTATTAGGCTACTGCCATTACACCAAGCACAGTCCTGGAAAATAACAGTGAAAATTATCTCCCAGTTCACAGACAATAACTCTTCAGGCATACCTCTATTTCCCAGACAGCTGAGCATAACTCTAAGATTATATAACTACCCACATAATCTCTCATTCTCACGCTTATAAACTGTCCATCCCACTAGCTAGCACATGGTATTGTATGTAAGGTAACTGCAGGCTAGTTCCTGCTGGGTTTCTGCACCACTCAGCACTGAAACACCAAATCCCAGATTACATTCAAATCCAGAGCCTACCTGGAAGAATGAGGTTATAATGACTGTTATAATCTAATTAAAGTTGGCTACAGAGGATGCTGTTTACTGCTGCAAGTAAACAGGGATGGTTGTGTATTACTGTTAGTGATCAGCCGGTATTGATTGACTTATTGAACATATCTGATGATTCAGAATGCTAGTATTCATCTACAATTACAATTATCCATCAGGAAAGACGCAAGAATAAATAAATGTTTTTTGTTTTTTCCCTATCAAATAAAACAGCATTTAATTTGTTTTACTGCCTTGTGTGCCTTTTTATACAACCTATGTGAATAGCTTTTAGTGTCTTTTATCAGAGAAACCTAGTTCCATAAATACACTGGCACAGTTTTGTTTAACAATGTTTTTTAGAGTTGACCATCTTCTCAACATTGAGCTTCCTTAAGTGGTCAGATTCATTATTTTTTTCTTTTTGTAACTTACCAGAAGGTGGCAGCACAGTCAAAGTGAGCTTGAACCAGAGTTTGAGCAATAATATTTACTGTTGACCCATCTACAAATGTGGTTTGACTGGCTAGGTTCACCTTAGAAACTCAAAGATATTGGTGCAAGTCACTATCCAGATATGTTTCTCTGTTTTTATTTAAGATTTCCTAGCTTTAAATGTAAACTTGGATGTCTGTCTGAGCTTCCTTTTACAAATAAATAGGATGGCTTCTGTCTTTCAAAGGTAGATGGATAATATATAGCCAGAAATATTTGAAATGTTGTATGCTGCTTTTTCATGGCTAAATGACTATTAGCCATCAACATGTACGTTTCAAGTGTGATGATGTGTAAATCTTTTCTGTTGCTTATATCCTCATTGCAGTGGTGATGGTGACAATTAGCAGTAAGCTAATCACACTGAGGGAGGCCCATGCCAGTCCATTCTTCACAATGAGCCACCTCAATATGTATGTGTGTAACTATACTGCATGATTTGTTTTGTTTTGGAGTGTGTGTCCATTCTGTCAAGCAGAAATCTCTTCAGTGTCTCTCTGCAGTGTCACCCAATGGATTAACAGGTAGATCCGTTCACCCAGATACAAATGAGGTTAATAAAAGAAAAGTAGATTAATAACCAGTCAAGAATGACACTGTGCCTTGCTCAATTTCATCCAATATTCATGTGGTGAGTGCAAGGTGTAAAGCTAATGGTGCTCCAGATGAGAAAACTACAAATGTGGAATGTATTTTTCATTTTGTTTCGTTACAATTTATAATTTCTTTCAACAATATTATGTTTTTAGTACAATTTTTATACAGTATCTTTAAAATCAAACATGTACACCACACATTGCTAACATTGTTTCTGTCATTATATGAATATGTTTAAGGCTCCAGAAAATCTTGGTCCCCCCTATGGGATCAAAATGTTTTTAAGACATGTCATTTGATCAGAAGACTAGTTGTACTTGATAATTAAACTTACTTTGTCTTTATGGATGCAAATCTCAAATTTCTGGGTGACATTTGTATTTGAATTTGTAATCTGGAAGTTTTAAAACAATTACTGCTTGGCAACATGGACAAATCAAGAATCAAGGATACCGATTACACCATTAATAAAGCAGACCATCCTTCAGCCTCCTATATCAGTTTTATTCTATTATATATTACAATAAGTCAAATTAATATAAAACATTGGGAAAAAATTGACCAGGGAACTAAGGTGCACTTGCTAGTTTTTCCAGAGGTTGTTTCAGACAGACAACTATGGTTGAAATCTCCAGAAAAAAAACCTAGTGTGTTGAGTTAACTACCAAAAACAAATTCTCGCTGACAGAATTTGGGTTTTTGGAGACCCGAGCAGCCAAACCTCCAGACACAAGACTATTAAAGGTCTATATTTGCATTTTGAGACCTCTGACAATTTGGCGGAAGCTCTGTTTGAAATTAAAGGTATGTTTGATCGATGAAAAGTGTCAGCATCACTTACATGTCTGTGCGGTATTGTCGCTAGAGGTCATCAGAGGTTCACGCCGCCGCGAGGACTTTCCCCCGAAACAGTCTCCTGCTACGTCACTGACCCCCGCTCCGCCTCGTGCCACACCGACTGTTTCTGTCGGTTTGTCAGCTGCACGAGACGCGCGGCATATTGTCTCATACGTGAAACCTGTCAGTAAATGTTAGTAGTTAGCTTCGGTTCTGTAAGGAGCGGCGGTCCGCTCGTTGTTTAGAGAAGAACCGGAGAGACTGTTGTTACTTTTAAACAGCGGTGTCACAGCACCGCGAACCTCCCTGGTGACTCGCGCCTTTGTAACTAAAGTAAATGGTAAGTAGCTTTAGTGTCGGGGGGTTAGCTTTTAGTAGCATCATTGCTAGACTAGTCACTGACCGCAAGCACACATAGGCGATAGAAAAGTCTGTCCCAGCTGGTCATGGTGCGGGTTCAGTGAGTGATCATTGAAGAAATGATGGAGGTTAAGTTGAAAATTTTTGTTCTTTCAGTTGTCTCTTGCTTGTTTGAACCTCGTGATCCGACTTTGGTTGAGCACAGGCCAGGGTCCAACTCTCCCTCTAACGTTACTAAACTGAACGTGGCGGCTTCATGGACATTTAGTACGAAGGGACCATGAGTTTCTCTCTTTAATTTGCTAACAGGTGAAAGAAGATGCTGTCCATAATACCAGAGCTATGTATCATGTGTCAAACCTAATAATGTCAGGTGGATAACTTTAGTATTATTTAAAAAATGTGGACATGTTTGAATCCATTTATGTTTGCATCTTGAGCAATGTCATGTAGCTGTTGTCTTTTATCATTATTATTAAGTGTCTCTATTCCTTCTACTTTGTCTGGATCTTCATAAAGAAATTCTGTCCATATATGATTCAGTTTGCAAGTTTTCAGTGCCTATCTCTTTGGTAAGATATTGAACATGTGTCTCCTTTTTTTAAAGGTAATTTTTATGGCAGGCATTTGCAGTAGATTAACAGGAAAGGGGGAGAGAGCAGGGGGGCAAGAGGTTAATTGGCTGCAAGTTTGTTAATTAATTAAGTCATTTATCCAGGAAAAATGCCAAGCATTCTCTGGTCCCAGCTTCTCAAATATGAGTGTTTGCTGCTTTTCTCTTTGTTGAATGTAACATCGTAATATGTTTGTGTTTTGGACTAATAAGGGCTGCATAAGCAAAGGATGTCAGCTTGGGATTTTGAAAGTTGTGACAGTGATCTATATTTAAATGGTTTCTGATGTTTTATTACCTAAAGTATAAATTGATGAATAAATTAAATTAAAAATTAAATGAAAGGTATTGACAGTTGCAGCCCTGAACCAAATCCAGCTTGTTTACCAGCATCTTGATCTCATTAATGCAAGGCTTAGCATGTCAAGCTAATGAAATCACACACACACTAACTTCAAAGAAGTCCCTCTACATAAGTGTTATGTGTAGTCTTTGTTAACACTCCAGGTGTTATATAAGGTGGGTATTAATGTCAGTTCAGTGGAGTATTTCTGCCACTCTTGTTTTCAGGAACAAACATGGTGACACAACCTGTGAGCTGTGACAGAAACTATCTGACTGACGTTCTGGTGTTAAGAGCCTTGAGGCTAGAGCGCATGTCAAAACTGAGTTCAAAATAAACCTTCAGGCTTTTCTTCATTCCAACACACAATTTTAACACTACTCCTTTGTGTGTGTGTGTGCATCTGTTGGTGTTAACCCATATAAAGTGCTACTAAATTCAGTGTTTGTAGATTTAACCTTTAAAACCATTGCCGTACAGATGTGATTTAATTGGAGCAGAAAATGTTCAGTTTTTATGTGAACATGTAAATGTTGTTGCAGACATATGATAGAGTAGGGATTTATTTCTAGCATGAAGTGCTCTCGGAACATTGTAGGCAGACTGTGTTGGAAAACATTGAGTCACAGCTGCCCAGCAGTGACAACCAGCTTCTCCCTGAGGGATCAAAGCCTTAGCAACATAACATATTCAAGAAATGACACACAGCCAGAGGCTCAGATGATTAAAACATGTTTGGATACACGTGGTATGGCTTGAATCCTATTTCATAACACAAATTGACATAGAATTACCTGTACCTCACTTAACAGGCCTGTACTTCTTTTGTTTCAGACTGTGTGTTGCTGGTTTCTGCAGTCCAACTACTGACTCCCATGGCTCCAGGAGCTGTCTGATTCTGGATCTGCTGAGCAGGAATAGCACAGGTCAGCTGGTACATTATCTCATAGATGCCAAACACAATCAGTCAAACCAAGTTGCCTTTAGACGTGAAGGGAAATGTTTTCTGCAGAGTGTCTTTATAATGCAGGCAAATTAAAACAAGGGAAAAAATTACTCATATTTGAGTTTTTGTTCTAATGTTATTTTCCCACCCTTTCAGGCCCAGGCAGAGAGAGATGAGCTGGGCTGAGGAGGACTGGACAGTGGGGCTGTCCGGACGGGTCCTGCAAAAGGTGAAGGAGCTGCAGGTCCATCAGGAGCGACTGTCCAGGGAGAACAAGCAGAAACAGCTGCAGCTGGACAACATCCATACTAGCCTCGAAAAACAGACTGTGAAGGTACAAGCATCGATGTTGGTTTATCACTATGACAATTAGTGCTGTTCTCCTTGGGGAAGAGCAGCAAACAAATTATTGTGGAACTTATCATTAATATATGTGTGTATATAAGTGTTACTGCTACTGTGAAAAACTGAGGTGTTGACATCAATAGAGGGATGGACTGTGGACAGGTTAAATTTATAAAGAACCGTGTAATTTGTAAGTTGGTTGTTGGACACAGTATTCTCATTTCAAAGTTATCTTTTTAATACATTTTCTTATCAAGCTAGGTAACGTTTGGTAAAGTCTGTTTCACTGTGCATATTAAAAGCTTATGCTGCGTAGTCCTGAAGTATAGTGTGCCTTGAGAGCCATATCCCAGTCTCAGTACACTATCTTCATGTTAGGTGTGACCTACAGTTAGTAACCTTTATGGCAATGCAGTTGAAAGAGGCTGTAAATATGATTTTGTATAAATATTTATTTTTCTGTGGTATATATACGGTGGTATGTATAAATATGTATGCTTTCTCCTCACCTCCCCTATTTAGTATGAGGAGGTGCGTGGGGAGCTCCAGTCTGTCCAGAGAGAGCTCCAGAGCGTTCGAGATGAGGCCAAGGCAGCAGTAACCAGCAGGGAGCGTCTAACCCAGGAGCTTCAGACTAAGCAGGCCCAAGTGTGTTCTTTCGAGGGCCAGCTAGATGCTGCTCGCACCCTCAACAACAAACTCACCCAGGAAGTCAAAAGGTTTGACCAGTGGAAAACATCTGGGATGATGTTAATTCTTCTATTTCTTAATCTGTCTTGCGGGGTTGGTTGTTGTTTTTTTTTATGGGGTTTTGCATTCTTGTTCAGAACAGCAGGGTTTTGTACCTCGACAGTAACTTGTACCTTCTGAAAAAATTAAACTGAGCAGTAAAATACTATATATTTAATGTTGGATATTTGTAGCAGATAACACTGAAATAAATGATTCTTAAAGCTATCTGCAACATTAAAATTAATTTTCTGCAGAGAGAAAGAGGAAACTCGTTTATGTATCAGTTGATGATTGACGATGAATTGAAACCAAAACATACTTGTTTCTTCCTGAAATGTCTTGGTTTTCTTGCCCACACACTGAACTCTTAACACTTCTCATTTGTTAATCCCTTTTCTCTCTCTCTCTGGCAGGCTGGAGGCAGAGCTGGAGAAGCTGCAGAACAGCAGCAGGTCAGCAGATACCACTCTGTTTTCTACACCCTGCTGGAATATAACCTCGCCCTGGGAACAGAATGGTATAGTCATGTAACTTTATGAATCCTGTGTGTATTCTTTGGTGTTTTCTTGCCTATGTGTTCATTAATGCACTGTGTAGTTTGGAAAATTAAATGGAAAAACTGCAAGACTCCCAAATGCAGAGAGGTTCTAAATATAGTCCCTCAGCTCCTGTTCTTTTCCAACCCTTCACTCTCTGGGGACTGTTGCGTTTCTCTTTCCTCTCTTGTCAGTAAGCCAGTTGGGTTCCTCACAGCTGCAGTTTCTGTTCAGCTTAGGTGATTGGTTTTAAGTACCAAGTCCAATCCATATGCTGTGTTTTTGCCCTGCAGGGAGCAGAAAGGAGGAGAGGCCAGGGCATAGAGATGAAGGACAGAGCAGGGTGCGCCACAACAGAGTAAGTACATTTGAGTTAGCATGTTTTTATTTTGAGCTATGCATAGGCTGCCTTTATTCTATATGTTTCTTATTGTCAACAAAGTTCATGAAAAGACCAAAACCAACCACGTGTTAATCCGCCTCCTAATACTTCCTGATGTCCAAGCTTGTCTGTGGCTTGTAGTCCAAGCCCATTGGCTCCTACTGAAGCCATCAATCTTTAAAAACCTCAGTAATCTCAGCATGGCACTGCAGTTTTTGGCTAATGTTACTCAAACAGGAGTAAATAGTGTATTTGTTGGGGATAAAGTGCTAAATGAACTACAGTACCTATATTCTGAAATATTCAGACTATTTTCAGTGGCGGCTTTGGTGCACTGTGTTTACGCAGCAACAATGGAGGTCTATGGAACAATGTAATACACCATATCAAGATTTAGGCACTCAAGTATTTGTTAGGTGCATCAGATTATTGCTGGTTTCTGTATTTTTATGGGATTTGTTTACAATTAAAAAAAAAAAAATAGAATATCACCAGACTTATCCTTTTAGACAGTTTTTTTCCTACTTGTGCACTGCTAAATTCCATAATGTACTTTGTTTTCAGGTCAAAAAAAGAGCTTCCACACTCTTTCTTATGTTCAGAAAATGTTTGTCTTAACTACAAATGTGTGGTGGGGCTTTACAGAGTCTAGTTTGTACTCAAGAAGTATCGTGAACATAAGTCCTACATCCCTGGATCTCTGTTGAAATTCTGTTAAAATCTTATTTTTAGTTTGACTTCCTGTTCAGGCTCACACCCTCCTCTTTCTATTCTAATCAAATCCTTCTCTCCTCCCTTCATCAGCAGCTGCAGTTCTCTGAAGGGGCTACGGCCTCGTTGCCGCAACAACAACACAAGAACACACCCCACCGC